AAAAGCAGTGACATTACTCGGCCGGCAAAGGTCCATATAGTCAAGGCTATGGTCTTAGTGTCACGTACAGTTGAAGGCAGAGTGCCAAAGAACAGATGCCTTCAGACTGTGGTGCTGGAGAAGACTCCTGAGAGTCCCTTGGACAGCAAGGAGATCAAACCACTCAATCTTAAAGGAAATCAACCCTGAATACTCATTGGAAGGACTAACGCTGGAGCCAAAACTCCACTATTTTCGTTACCTGATGTAAACAGCTGACTCCTTGGAAAAGTTCCTGGTGCTAGGAAAGATTGAGGTCAGAAGGAGAAGAGGGTGTCAGAGGATGAGATGGTTAGATGGCATCAACAATGCAATGGACATGAACTTGAGCAAACTTCAGGAGGTGGTGAGGGACAGGAAGGCCTGGTGTGCTGCAGTACATGGGATCGCAAAGAGTCAGACACAACTGGATGACTGAACAACAACGTGACAGGGAGTATCCCTAGTCTTTGCGGTACACACCCTCTTCCATGAAACTTATATTCTGGAGGAGATGAACATCACTCAAAATTATCAGGACTGACTGCAAATTGGTATAACTGTGTCAAAGGTAAGGAACAGGATTCTATGGGGCCAAACAGTGAAGATACTCCATTGAGACTGGAGAGAGAGCCTGAGTCTCAACTGCATGTATAGCAATGAAGCAGAAATAGAGTTCAGGGGAGATAAACCAAAAAAATAAATCTGTTTCCCCATGGAAATGTCAAGGGAGTGGAGTCCCATCTTACACAAGAAAGTTGATTCTTAGGCAGGCAACTCTTATATACGGAAAAAATAACCCTTTAAAGTTGGTTACATTGCTCATAAAGTACTGCCCCACACTTGTGCATAAGGTAAACATAATAAACATGTAAAATGTACCGTAAAACATATAATATTGTACACAGATTTATGATAAACCAAAAAATGCATCTTTAAAATATAAAAATCATCTCAGCACTTGAAAAGAGTCAACAGCTTCCCTTGGTGGTTCAGTGGTAAAGAATCCACTGCCTACAAAGGCTACAAAGGTGCCAGGAGATCCAACCCGTCAGTCCTAAAGGAAATCATTCCTGAATATTCATTGGAAGGACTGATGCTGAAGTTGAAGCTCCAATACTTTGGCCACCTGATGCGAAGAACTGACTTGTTGGAAAAGACCCTGATGCTGGGAAAGACTGAAGGTGGGAGGAGAAGGGGACGACAGAGGATGAGATGGTTGAATGGCATCACCGACTCAATGGACATGAGTTTGAGTAAACTCTGGGAGTTGGTGATGGACAGGGAGGCCTGGAGTGTTATAGTCCATGAGGTCACAAAGAGTCAGACATGACTGAGTGACTGAACTGAACTGACAAAGGTGACATGGTTTGATCCCTGATCCAGGAAGATCCCACATGCCCCAGAGCAACTAAGCCCATGCTCTACAACTACTGAGCCTGTGCTCTAGAGCCCAGGAGCCGCAACTACTGAGATCACATGCTGCCCCTTCTAAAGCCCGTGTGCCCTAGAGGCCGTGCTCCACAATAAGAGAAGCCATCACAATGATAAGCCCGTGCACCACAACTAAAGAGTAGCCCCTACTTGTTGCAACTAGAGAAAGCCCTCACACAAAAAGAAAGTCCCAGCACAACCAATAAAAAAATAATGAGACAGGGATCCATGAATATAAGAAGCTTTCAGTTTAGAATAAAGATCCAAAGCCCAGCCTTCTCTGGGGGATCTAGAAAAGTCTGTGTGTCTTTTCCGATTCTCTTCCGATCTATAGGGGAAGAATGTTTAGGTATATTATACCTGCTATTTCACTGTTCCCTATTTTTATGTTAATAACATGGGATTTTTGCAATATGCTTATCCTTAAAATTATCTGTATAAAAAGGGTTTTGCTTATATTTAACATAAAATTTTTCATTAATTTTTAAATTCTAAAAATACATAATTTTCATAAAGTCATATACATGCCTCTCAGACAAGTAGAGAAGTCAAAGAATTTATTCAGAGAATTAATCTGTTATGGAACTGTTACAATTATAAAGCTGGTTCAAAGAGCATTTTGAAGGATAGCTTAATTATTGTCTCACCAGGAAAAGCAGTGAGAAATAAATATGCTGAGTTAGGGGGGAATGGCTAATGTCCTATACCGTGTTGTGCTGTGCTCAGCCACTCAGGCATGTCTGACTCTCTGCGACCCCATGGCCTGTAGCCCTCCAGGCTCCTCTGTCCAAGGGATTTCCCAGGCAAGAATACTGGAGTGGGTTGCAATTTCCTACTCCAACATGACACCTTACATTTTGTCTATTTTCAGGATTTTTTAAATTAATATTTTAAAGTATAGTTGATTTACAACGTTATTTGTTTCTACATATTCAGCAAAGTGAATATTTCCAGGTTTTAAATAATTATAGTTTTTTTTGCAATACAAGGAAAAGATTTCAAGAATGATAGAGGAATAGCTAATAAAAGATGGCTTCTTTAAAATAGGCATTTTAGAAATGATCAGAATAATTCCATAGAATTCCAAATTGTATTCAATGGAGTCCAATTATAACTTCTTGAATATTGACCAGTTTTGCATCTATTTGTAAATAAATTTAAGAATGCTTTATTTTTTTTCATTTATTTATATTAGTTGGACTCTAATTACTTTACAATATTGTAGTGGTTTTTGCCATACATTGATATGAATCAGCCATGAATCTACATGTGTTCCCCATCCTGAACCCCCCTCCCACCTCCCTCCCCATCCCATCCTTCTGGGTCATTCTAGTGCACCAGGCCTGAGCACTTGTCTCATGCATCAAACCTGGACTGGCAATCTGTTTCACAATTGGTAATATACATGTTTCAATGCTATTCTATCAGATCATCTCACCCTCGCCTTCTCTGACAGAGTCCAAAAGTCTGTTCTATACATCTGTGTCTCTTTTTCTGTCTTGCATATAGGGTCATCGTTACCATCTTTCTAAAGTCCATATATATGCGTTAGTATACTGTATTCGTGTTTTTCTTTCTGGCTTACTTCACTCTGTATCATGGGCTCCGGTTTCATCCACCTCATTAGAACTGATTCAAATGTATTCTTTTTAATGGATGAGTAATATTCCATGGTGTATATGTACCACAGGTTTCTTACCCATTCATCTGCTGACAGACATCTAGGTTGCTTCCATGTCCTGGCAATTGTAAACAGTGCTGCAGTGAACATTAGGGTACATGTGTCTCTTTCAGTTCTGGTTTCCTTGGTGTGTGTGCCCAGGAGTGGAATTGCTGGGTCATATGGCAGTTCTATTTCCAGTTTTTTAAGGAATCTCCACACTGTTCTCCATAGTGACTGTACTAGTTTGCATTCCCACCAACAGTGTAAGAGGGTTCCCTTTTCTTCACATCCTTTCCAGCATTTATGGTTTGTAGACTTTTGGATAGCAGCCATTCTGACTGGCATGAAATGATACCTCATTGTAGCTTTGATTTGCGTTTCTCTACTAATGAGTGATGTTGAGCATCTTTTCATGTGTTTGTTACCCATCTGTATGTCTTCTTTGGAGAAATGTCTGTTTAGTTCTTAGTTTTTGATAGGGTTGCATATTTTTCTGGAATTGAGCTTCAGGAGTTGCTTGTATATTTTTGAGATTAGTTCTTTGTCTGATGCTTCATTTGCTATTATTTTCTCCCATTCTGAAGGCTGTCTTCTCGTCTTGCTTATAGTTTCCTTTGTTGAAGCATGCTTGAATCTATCAATATGTAGTACTTTGAATTCTTCTGTGAACAGGTTGTACAGCTTACTGTTCCCCCTTTAATTAATGAGTTGAAAAAAGTAGTTTGTGCACACAAAAACAAACACACACAAACAATCAGAAATTGGATAGTGCTTATCCAACCAGCAGCTACAGTAGCCGTTCTACAGCTTCAGTGAAGTAGAGCCACAGCCTGCGGGCTTACTGCCCAGGCACCTCTAAAATTTAAGGAGCTTGACAAATCCCCAAAGGTCTGGGTCCCTCAGAGTCCTGCTTCCTTTTCTGCCCTTAACCATAGGAAGGACTTGGAAGTACTAAGAGGCAATACACTGATTACTAGAATCACGCTCACAGTCAAAGCATTCTGCAATCCACCTGCCTCTGAAAACTCTCGTCTTCACTCACACCTTAATGCTGGTAACAGTTCTCTTCCTCCTCCTGATGCAGACACTACAGAAAAACCCAGATCCTTCTCCTTTCCTGAAACAAACAGCACAAGCTTTTACAAGTAACAGAAATCTACTGAGGTTGATAAAAATAAGTACGTTTCATCCACCCCAGAATAGGAACTATATAAAGTAGAATGCTAACTCCTCTAAAATTCATCAGCCATCCATTTCCCTGGAAGATTCTGAATGGCCAATGCTTCTGGTCAGACTCAGGATCCTCATAAATATAACTGGAGACCCACCTTCAGTTCTGGGTTCCTCTGCATTGATTCAATAAAATAACCCCCTTTTATGCTGCAGAGTGATTCAGCCCTCATGCCCTTTAATAACCAAATGGTGTATAAACACCATAAAAGGGACTTCTCTGGTGGTCCAGTAGCTAAGACACTGAGTTCCCAGTGCAAGGGGTCTGGATTCGATCCTTGGTCAGGAAAACTAGATTCTACATGCCGCAGCTAAGAGGTCACATGCCACAACCAAGACCTGGTGCAGCAAAATAAATAAAAATCAACTTTTTCTTAAAAGTATTAAAAAAAAATATTATTACCACCAGAAAATTCACTTCCCATGGCAAACTACAGCCTAATCAAAACTAGTTCAGAAATAGTCCACGTCTAGCTTCTCAAACCTGAGTCCATGGCATAACTAACAGTTGTTATAACTACAGGCCCAAAAGTCTGTCTCCAGAACAGTGGGACGAGACCCCCCAGCCATCCAGGCTGTACCTCAGAGGCCTCTGTCACAGGGAGTCTGCAGCTCCAGGAAGAGCCACAGCGAGGGTCCAGGACAGTGACAGGCCCTAGGGGGACACAGCCTCGGGGTTGCAGGGGAGCAGGGGAGACTCGGCCCCTGGAGGACCGTCAGCACCAGAGCCTGAGCTGAACCCCGCCCCTGGGAGGCTCACAGGCTCCTCCAGAGAAGGATTGCTAAGGGCAACGGGGAGCCCCTCAGACCCTCCCACCTTGGAGCACACGGTCAGGGACACGTCTCCTAATCTGATCATTAAGTATGGAAAGAGGGTCCCAGAGAAGGAAGCCTGAGGGAAGGAGAAAATGTGGGAGCCATCAGCCATGTTGTAGAAGGAGACGTCCCCTTCCTGGTAATCCAGAAACACTCCCATCCTAAGCCTGGGGTGGGGAGCCTGCATGAAGGATAGCAGAGTCTGCTTTGCAGTACAGGCACAATATTTTCCTTCAAACCTCCCCACAACCCAGAACCCCTTTTCTGGGGACTCTACATACCAGCCTTTCTGGTTCACACCTTCCCTACAGATCCCCAGCACCCACTCGCTTTGGTCTCCATCCCTGATCTCCACCTCCCAGTAACAGCGCCCTGATGTGATGCCCTCAAAGCCCAGTACACTGCGGGTATCTCCAGAGGTCACATAGGAGTCCTTCAAGGTCACACGTGTCTTTTCATGAGAGACGACAAGGTCTGAATGGGCAGATGCTGGATCCAGAGTGACAGGCCCTGCAGAGAAAGTTACCTATCATTCAAGGTCCTCCCCTCCCCAAGAACACACAACCACCCCTCAACCCGGAATCCCAGCTGCATGGGAGGAAGGCTAAGCACCCTGACAATAGGAACTTGTGATTCAAGTCTATGGGCCTCCAGGCAGGAAAAGGACCCAGGAGACTGATTTCAGGGTGAGATATGTCACAGAGCCCTTGAGGACCAGCCTGCTCTCCAAGGGCTGAAGGATGTCTATTTAGCATTCAATATCAGCCAAAGTCATCAATCCCACCTATGTGTGACTATCACCACCACATCCCACCCCACACTATTGATGGTGCCAGAATCTATATCACCACTGAGAACTGAAGGAGAGGCCACAGGGACAGCAGTAGGAAAGTCCAGAAAAAACACAAAGTCACTCACATTCCTGGAACTCCTCCTTCCGCCAATCTACAAGGAAAACACACGTTTCATATCAGGGGTTCGCAAAGACTGTAAAACACACATTAGGGTACCTAGGGTGGGTACTGAAGCTGCTAATGAAGGATTTGTGGGGAAAATGTTTGAAAACATTCACTTGATACATTTATTGCTCTTTTATATGCACACATTCACAGAGAATGATCATTTTGCAACCTTTTGATGAAGACCTAGCCACAAACCTTAATACTCAGGGATTGGGAAGCTGGAGACTGACCTGAACAGAAAGATGTTTGCCATATTTGCCTACCAAATTATTTTTTCTCAAGGCCTTAGCCACATATCTATAATGAAAGATAGGTTTTCTAGAGAAAGAATTGGAGAGATAAAAACTTTTGTTCACTAGTGAAGAACTGATGGAGCTGAACTTGCAGGTTGTGTCTGAGCCGTGGGTAGAGAGAACACAACTGGCTAAGCTGAACTTGAAGGATGACTATGTGCCAGAAGAGAGGAGAGCTCAGCATACAGCACTGCAGAAATCTGACCCAGGTAGAAGACAATACAGAGCTTTCCAGAGATGGAGACATTCAAACAAGAAAACATGACAAGCGCTGAAAAGATGAAATACGAATAACTTCTTCGATTTTTGTAGGAACAAAACCATCCCTATAAATATGGCATATGGTGAAAATATTTTAAAATGCTGACTCTAGTTTCATGGTACTGTTTCCTTTTTGTTTAACGAAAGGTATAGAATAAAAGGTATACATTAAAATAGACATACATTAAAACACATGCAACTTAAATTTGGCAGAGAAGGTGAGAATGGTAAAAGAAGACCACACAATTGTTACTGTGAAGTAACAAATCCCTGCAGGAATCAGTAAGATGTCTGAGGTGGCTTCTCTCCCATCTGGTGCCCAGGCCTCCTTCACCCCCTGGCTTCCCCACGGTCTCCCACAATCTGTATTCCTAACCCTAAACAGAAGCATTCCAAGCAGGAACAGAGCCTATGACATAGGCTCAGAGGGCTCAGAGCCTTCACTCACCCCACTGCTAAGGGTCCTCGAGACCACCCTCACTGCACTAGCATCCCTGGAACCACACACCTTCCCCAGCTCCTCTGGAAGATAGAGATGGCCTCATTATCAGAGGCAAAGTCATTATATGCTTACCTTAAAAGGGCTTAGGAATGTAAGTTTTTCTGAAATATTTTAAAGAGGACTCAAGGAGTCCATTACATTTCATGTCATGAACCTTGCAAACTCTCGGTGCACTTCCCAGATTCACATCACGTGGCTGTGACTTTTGACCTTGTGACCTTTGACCTCTATTCAGTCACTCTGTCCACTTAAAACCTCCACAGGGCATTTCCCCCACACATTCCTATACTTCCTTCACATCTCCTCCTCTCTTCCCTCTAATCTTTTCTTCCGTGATTTGTTCCCCTACCCTTTCTCCAAGAAGCAATTTAACCTCTGTCACTGTCTTCTTTTCCAGTCTTCTATATTAACCCTGAAAAGGAGAGGAGGAGCCTGAGCCCTTCAGACAAATGTTCTCCTAAAATGGAAGGTAATGGTCATGAATAATCCATCATATGTTACATTTTTGGTTTTATGACAAAAAAATGCACTTGGGATTTTCCATATGATTTCAAATCTTTCACACCGTCATTCAAGGAGTCCATAAATATCCCAGAGGTGGTGGACCCCAGAATCAGAACACCTCCTCCTCATCAACCAAGGAGGCTTGGAGGATGAAAGCCAGCCTGGACACGGGGTCAGAACATGAGGAAGCAGAGAGAAGACCAATATTCCAGAGGACCAGGGAGAAACAGGGAAACCAAAACTAGAGCCCAAGAGAGTAGGAATTGTCGAGCAAGGAGGATTCAAACCTAGAGTCACATAAGCAAGCGAGCATGATTTCTGAAATCTTCCAGAGTTGAGCAAATTATGATCCACACAGTCATTACCCTGGTGCCAACCTTCCTCACCGCTGATCCCTCCTAGTCACTGTCACAAGAAGTCCCAGTTACACCAGGTGTTTGGGGAGGGTGCTGCTAACCCTGACAGTGCCCTGCAGTAGAGGACAGGCAGGATGGAGGCAGATCTGTGTTCCGAGGAGGAGTCCCTGCAGTCTCCAGTTGGAGGTTACAAAGGTGACAAGAACACCAAGGACACCTACCCACCCTGGTGTGGGGTCCCCTCAGGGAGAAGGGGGCAGAGTCTAGGTTTCGGAGGGGAAGCCACAGGAACTCAGAGCCACTTACCTGCATACAGCTGGGCCTGCCTCCAGGCTGAAAAGGAACATATTCTGGTGAGACCTCGTCCATAAGAAACCTGCTCAGTGTGAACCCACTGGTCATTGCCTCCCCTCTGCTCTGAGACTAACTAACTACAGTGAGGTGAGACTAACTACAGTGGGGAAGAGGCTGGAGAGGAGGTGACCTCCAGCCACCTGTAGACACCAGGTGAGGTGGGGAATCCCCTGGAGCACAGGTCGGAAGCCTGCAGCAACTGGACTGATTTCCACCACTGTCCCACTGCTGTGTGACATTTGGCTAGTTCACCTAGTGGGGCTCTTCCCTCAAAATCCTTCAAAATTCCTGTTTCACCTGCTACTCCATGTTGCTACTCAGGCTCAGAAGCTGCTTGTTTGAATATATTTTAAGGGAAAAAAGTATAAATTACTCCACAATTTTAACAATTAATTATTGCATCAGTATTTTCTGGAAAAAATATATATGAAAAATTGGCATGAACAGGAATTTTAAAAGAACATAGATACAAGGTCAACTCCAAGGTAAAACTAGCCAAGCATTCCCAGATGAAATCATTCTAGAGACACATGTCATTTTTCTGGGCAGCCCATGACTTTTCAATGCACAGTCACCCCAGGTATCCCCTCAATCACTTTCTCATCATCATCTTGAGGAAGTGGAGAGAAGATACTCTCCCTGGATGCTGTGCTGGGATAGAGGAAGGAGGTCACACACAAACTTAATCACCATTTGTTTGTGTAGCTCCTTCAGTGAAATCTCAGGGCATGTGGTTTTGGCCCTCAGGTACTGATCAAAGACCAGATGCATTCAGGCTACAAAGCTATAAATAATTTTCAGGTTGATCAGGGTTGGAATAAGACCCAGGGTGTGTGAGAAACTCTGAGGTGGCCATCAGACCCAAGTTCCCTGCCAGCCCAGGTCTGCAAGGGGCCTAGGAGCTGGGTTCTGTCCCCCCCAGCCTCCACTTCCACCTCACAAAAGGGGGTGCACATGTCTAGAGAGAAACAAGAAAAGGGACACCTTGGCACAGGTCAGACAGACCCAGGACATCTGGAGAGTCACTCACCAGCCAGGTAAGCGGATTTCCTCCTCTCTGGAAAGCAAAACAGGAAAACAGGTGAGCTAAGAACCAGAATGTCTCCTGTGAAGGGGATGCAGAAAGCTCAAGAGGAAAAGTAGAGCTTACCTAGTTCTTCCTGAAGTTTAGCTGAAAGAGAGTGAAAACAAAAAAGCATGAACTCCAATCCCCAAGAAAAAGAATTCACAAATTACCACCTCTCTGTGTGTAACCCCTGGGGAAGATGTTCCAACTGCAGACCCATCGGAGCCTCCACTGCTCCAGCAGTCCACCCAGGTCTCCTCAGCCACCTGCTCTGAACTGGGATTTCCCCAGAGCCCTGGACTCAGGCCCTGTGGTCTGTTCCTCCCTCTGAGCACCAGCCACCACATTCACCAGCCTTGACCCCTCTCCTGCCTTACCTGCATCCTTGAGCACTTCCTCCTTTGTCTGATGGTCCTGCTCTCTAATCTGGCACAGAGTTTCCTTTTCTCGCATCTCCTGCACCTTCAAGGAATGTTCTCTCTTGGTGTACCATCCAGCCCCAAGGAGCAAGATCACCAGCACAGTCAGGCTCACCGAGAAAGCCACCTTCCAGGGAGAGGCCTGGGGGAAGAAGGGCTCTGTGGCCCAGGCAGACACCCTGTCAGGGCCACAGCCCAGGAGAGCTCAGCCCGGAACACTCAGGAACACCCGGCCCCTCCTCCAGCCCTGCTGGAAGCGGGGAGCACCTCTGACCTGGGATGAAAATGGCCATGGCCTTCTCCTGGCCCAGGACAGGGTTGAGGATGGAGCAGGTCACATTCCCCACAGATCTGTCTCTCACCACCAGCACTGCCTCCACACTGAACAGCCCTTCAGCATCCTGGGTGTGGGCCTCAGAGAACGCCAGGAACTTCTCTCCGCTGAGGTCTCTCCACTGCACCTGGGGCTTCGGGAACCATCCTGAGGCCGTGCACACCACACGGACCCCATCCTCCTCAAGCCCTGTGATGCGCACCTGAGGGGCAGAGCCCACACCTGCGGGAGGCAAGATGTAGAGCCCAGGGACCCAGCAGTGCCTACATGTGCACAACTCTGGGGGTGCCCTGCACTTGGCATTCTGGGGGCTCTGGGGACAGTCGGAAGGAGCATGGGGACCCCCAGCATTTCCGAAGGCTGGGCCCCTTCTCCCTAGTCATGCAGGAAGAAAGGCAGATGCTGTGTAAACAGGGGGAGGAATGTGGTCTCAGGTCCACCCTCATCCTTGACTCTCCACACCCCACACTCTCCCAGGGCGTCTGCTTCCACACCCACTGCCTCTCTCTGTAAATCACCAGGAAAATTAGGTCATCTGACACCCCTGTGCCCTGAACTCCGCTTCCTTCCATCCTCAGGTTTACCTCCACCTGACTCCTCACATATACTTCCAACTCATAATTCCAGGACGAATATGTGATTTGGCCCCATCTCTGATGGCTTGATTGTGAAAATATTCCCACTTCTCCACTCATCTTTATCTCCAGCTCCCCGTCTGCCACACTCTTGTCCCCTCTGAACACCATGCCCCCTCACTCATGTCCACCAGCCATGAGGACCCCATGTGCGTCTAGAACACACCAGCCACACACCCTCCTCAGCCCATTAATGTTGGCTGTTCCCTCCCCTTTGAACTTGCAACCCCCAGATGTCCAAGACACTGAATCTTTACCTCCTTCCAGTCTATGTTCAGATACACATTCTCCATCAGGACCAGCCTGCGCCACTGTGTAACACTGCAGCCTGGCCTCACCCCCAACCCCCAGTCCTGATCCCCTTCCCCTGTTCCACTTGGCTTCTCATCCTCAGCACTTGCTACATTCTAACATCACCTATGATCTGTTTATTCATCATGACTGCTTGATCTTCCACTTGAGAATATACACTCATAACAACGGGGACCTTTGTTAGGTTCTCTGATGTATCCAAGGTGCTTAGAACAGGACCAGACACATAGTACGCGCATGTTCAGTCGCTTCAGTTGGATCCGATTCTTTGCGACCATATGGACTGTAGCCCTCCAGGCTCCCCTGTCCATGGGATTCTCCAGGCAAGAATACTTAAGTGAGTTGCCGTTTCCTCGTCCAGGGGATCTTCCCAACTCAGGGATAGAATCCATGTCTCCTGCATTGCAGGTGGATTCTTTACCACTGAGCCACCTGGGAAGCCCAGACACATAGGAGGGACTCTATATATTTGCATTTAATGAATGAATGGATCAAAGAGCCTCCCTTCATCCTGTGATAAATGCGGGGCTGAGTCATTACTTTCAGATTCCTCCCAGTTCCAACACCACAAAACTCTAACGAGTTACCCAAGTCACCAACCTGCCACCTTCAGCTCCAAACCAGCCTTTTTGTAGAAGCTTCCCTTTCTGAAGAAGCAGATGTACAGCCCATTGTCAGAAGCCTGGACCCTCTGGATGCGCACGGCAGCATATCCCTGGTTGAGAAGGTCCCCCATCAGTGAGGTCCGCCCCGTGTAAGGAGCCATCTGCTCCTCCTTCTGCTCCTGTCGGTTCTGATAGACAAACACGGCTTCCGAAAAACTGGAGCGGTACCACCTCAGCTCCATGTCCTCCGCACTCACAGCCGGAAATAGGGAGCAGGGCAGCACAGCTTCTCCACCCAGCACTGCCACTATGGGGTCCAAAGGGCCAATCACCCGGAACTCCTCTGTGGACACAAAGACAGCAGTGAGAGAGGAGGAGAGAGGCAGACCGAGGGCAGGGGACACACAGCGTCAGGTGGGAAGGCCCCAGTGTCGGATGAGATGACCACAGGACTGATGGACTGAACTTGATGACTCCGAATCTGGGCAACATCTCTGATCACATTTTTGTGACCCAGAAACAGTTTCAAGGAGAATCCCTCATCCTCCTATTCTCCTGGCCCCAGGCCCTTCTGTGAAGGCCTTCAGCGTGGATATGCAACTGAATCGTCATGTGATCAAGGGAATCACAACTGGCAGGGACCCCCTCCACCTCCCGTACACCTTCTGATATTGTAGGTCTGAGGTGGACCCAAGGATGTGCCTTTGTAAATAGTTCCTCGAAGGCTGATACTGATGCTCCACAGACCACACTTTGAGAAACAGAGCTCTATCCTGCCCCTCACTTCTTGGGCAGGACTGAAGCCTGAACAAAGTACATACCCGGGGTCTAGGTCAGAAATTCTTGATCATTCAGCCACACCCGGGAACAACTCTATTCCAGCCCTAACTTTCTTATGTGTGTTCATGACTTTCTCCTCAGCTCAAATGGGCACTAAAAACCAGATCCAAATGCTAATTTCGTTAAAAAGCTGCCTTTCTTCTCATCACCCACAGGAACCCATATTCACCCCACTGACATCTTCCCAGAGCCTTTGTCCTTCTGAGACCTGATGGATGGGTCATGACATGACCCCTGTGCAAGACAGCCCTGCAGGATCTCTGAAGAAAGATTTCAGCAGCTCAGAGTTGGTCTGAGTCACCATTGTCTCTCACCTGGAGGACAATGGTACACTGGGCTCCCTGTGTGTCCTCTCCCCACTCCCATGGGCTGAGGGCTCACAATCAGCTCCTCACCATGAAGGGCAGTCTGCTCTTAATAGCTATCCGCCTTGCCCCTACTCGGCTCAAAGCCTTGCCATGGCTCCTCAGTCCCCTCAGTGGACCTCAGGCCCGATGGGGTCGACCCCCGGGGCTCTCTGACTCCTGCTCCTGGTCTCTCCCTCTCAAACACTCTGCTCCAGCCAAGACCTGCCTCCACAGTCCTTTGCGCATTACAGGCACACAGGCAGCTTTGCACTGGCTGTTCTCTCCTGCAGAAACCATCCTTCCACCGAAACGGTCACAGACTCACCCCCTCCTCCAGGTCTTTGTTCTCCTCTCACTGAACATGCTGGCCCCTATTTCCCACCTCCCCACCTCTGGCTGCCTCCCTCCAGCCTCACTACTTCACTGCCCCTCCTCTCATCTCCTACAACAAACTGTCAATTACACTCTTCTGTGCATTTATTACTCACAGCCTCCTTCTACATTGTAAGCTCTATAAAGATAGGATCTGTCTGTTTTGTTCAAGTACAACACCTAATGGACTTCCCTGGTGGCTCAGACGGTAAAGAATCCCCCTGCAATGCTGGAGACCCAGGTTCAATCCCTGGATTGGGAAGATGCCCTGGAGGAAGGCATGGCAACCCATTCCAGGATTCTTGCCTGGAGAATCCACATGGTCTGAGGAGCCTGGCGGCCCCCAGTTCACAGGGTCACAAAGAGTCGGACTCGACCAAGTAACTAACACTTTCACTTTCTTACTGTCACATTTTTGTTCTTTTTATTTTATTTTGGAGGATAGCTGGTGGCTCAGTCGGTAAAGAATCCACCTGCAATTCAGGAGACCTCGGTTTGATCCCTGGGTTGGGAAGATCTCCTGGAGAATATCATGGCAACCCATTCAAGTGTTCTTGCCTGGAGAATCCCCATGGTCAGAGGAGCCTGGCTGATCCCAGTCCACGCTGTTGCAAAGGGTTGGACATGACTGAAGCAACTTAGCACACAACACATAGACATTTAACAATGTTGTGATAGTTTCAGGTGGACAGCCAAGGGACTCAGCTATACATATATATGTATCCATTCTCCCATGGTAACATTTTTCATAGTTGCCTTTTTTGCTGCAAGGCATGCATGACCAGGCATCCTAACCAGCAACAAACTTGTGCCTCTGCAATGGAAGCATGATGTCTTAAACACTAGACCCCCCAGGCAAGTCCTGATACTTGACTTTTGAAAACATCATAATCTCCACATTGGAAAACTGTCAAGGTCCCTTACTTTATGGTTTAGAGACTCTTCTCAATTATATAATGACAATTACTGCCTGGGGAAGCATCATAATTATCCTAGAGAAGGGGTTCCTCAAATACCCACCCACTGGTGGTGGAGAGAACCAGCCTAGCTCCTGGGGACCCACACAGGAAGAGGGTGGGGACACACTCACCTGTGGACTCCCCAGTGGGTAGCAGGAGGATGAGGAGCAGGGAGGTGAGGTGGCTGAGCCCAGAGCTGCGGGAGAAGTCCTCCATCTCCTCAGAGCTGGGGAGACACAGGGAGGGAGGCAGGGCTGGCCCAGAGCTCAGAGACCCCAGTGGAGAGGAGGGCTCAGGGCCAGAAATAGTCCTGCAGGAGCAGAGACCCCCACTGGATCCCTGTGCTGATGAGGTGCTGGGCTCCCCACAACTCTGACACCCAGAAAGCACTGAGCCTGAGCTCCTCCCAGCCCTGGAGAAGCCTCTGTGGGGCTGAACAACCACAAGGTTTACTTGGGAAAAATGCCCCCCTTCCCTTCCCACCGCAATGGCACCTGCAGCCCAGCCCACTCTGCCCAGAATACCAACTGCTTCCTTTCCCAGCACCGGGGGCCCGAGGTGGGACCATCCTGCGTCTTCCCATTATTTACAAGCACCAGTCATGCCCTGGGACAGACGCCCAGACTCAGCTCCTCACTGTGAAGTACAGGCCAGCTCCCACTTGGGGCCCCACAAGTGTGCTCTTCAAAGGGACTCTGGGTCCATCAGAGGCACTATGTGCTGCCTTTGCTGCTGGGTTAGTTAGCCTGGACTTCAACCCCACCCAGCCCTTTCCTGCAGGGACCAAGGACATGGCCCACTCCCAGGTGCCCAGTCAGTCCCCACAGACAGCTTAATCCTCATCCACACTGTCTTTGAAGAAGATTTCTGCATTGGGGTTGGACATCCCAGTGGAAACAGAGCAGCCGAGGAGAAAAAAAATGAGTCCTCATCAGAGAAAAGACCCCAAAACACTTAATGTTTGAGGTGGGGGAGGAGGCAGCTTAGGGTCCTGGGAAGGACAGATGCTGGGGGCCAAGCGCTGAGTCCTCCCCGCAAGACTGGGCCCCTGTCTGTCAAATTTCTCAACCATCTTCATGTTATTCCTCATCTGCAAAATGAGGATATTAATGGCATTTCCATCTCAAGGTTTTCATGAGAATCACATGAATTTATATTTGTAGTCACTACATGGAATTAGAAAACAACCTATTACTAGTAAGTGCTATAGCAATAACACTGAAACAAATGAATGAAGGTACACCCCTCACTGTGGTGGTCCTGGGTCTCCCTAGAGCCAATCCACCATCCAGCACCACCCACCCTTCCCCCAGCCCCACCACCTCCTTCTCATACCCTGCTGCTTCCTGCTTGCTCTTCTTGCCCACAAGTGTCTTCAAAACCCACTTACCTGCTCTGAAAGGCCAGGGCTTCAGAAGCGTCTCTAAACTCAGCAGCATGAGAAGGTTCAGGGACCCTGGCAGACCCCAAATCTGCCCTCAGAATTTGCACCTGAAGTTAGTCACTCAGAGCCCCAAACCTGATCCAGATCCAAGTCTGAGTTTCTCATGTCTGGGGGCAGGTGGTCTCAGGAGAGTGGAGAAGCTGCAGAGCCCGACCCAGGGGTATCTGCAGAGACCAGACCGTGGGACCCTCGGAAACGATCCCAGACAGCTCAGTCCGCCCTTCCCTGGTTCCTTCACTATTGGAAAGTGAAACCTGGATAAAGCAGTCCCAGTAGACTCTGCCCTGCCCTCTGGACAGTCACCCAGTTATCAAGAAGAAAACAGCCTGATCGGAGCAGCAACAAGAAGGTAGATTCAAGTAAAGTTGAAACTACCCTGAGGGGGACAGATAGACGCACAGGCTCAATAACCATTCTCGACAAGTGCTCCACTCCAGGTTGACAGGCATCTAACCTCGGAAGTGGGGCCGTGGGTGGCACAGCCAAGACTGACATCTAGCCCCTGCCTGGTCTGTTTACACCAGACTCTCACCACTGAAACGATTCCACGTCGGCTGGCAAACTGCACAGGGCATGGCCCCCAGCCTGGCTGATCTTTCTTCCCCAACAGATGACCCAGGAGCTCTCACAACCTGGCCCCTCATGGGTTAACCTCAGACATCAGATGGAGCTTCCAGGACCAGCTCCAGGCTGAACAGACAGTGCCCTAAGGCTTGTTAAGATAGTGTGCCACCCATTGCCTGGGTACAGCCGTTCAGACCCCCTCCCTGCCCGGTCCCAGTGAATACCAGGCAAGGCCTGATCCTCTGGTCTCAAAAAAAAAAAAAAACGAGCCCAAGGAGAATGGCTTTTCCTCTCCAGCTCATCCCATCCTGCATTTTCTTTACCTAGTAAAGGGCACCTGTGTTCACTCAGTTTTCTCTGCCAGAAACTTGAGGGGCATCTTTCACACCCCACTCTCCCACCCAGTGTGCTTCCAAAATGTTGAAGATTTTTCACAAATTCATGTCAATGGCCACTACATACTTGCAAACCACCGTCAATTCTCCACAGTCTCAAGGAGTCGTCTCCTCATGGGTCTCCCACCCCATCTCCAGCCCCACCCTCTCCAGTTCATTTTCCTGCCCAGGTCATAAACCTCTTATTAGTAAGTTCTGTCACTGAGGACACTTAGTCCAGACCCCTCACAGAGGAGGGAGGGGTTACAGCTGCAGGGAGACTGCCCCCCACACACACATCCTCTCCCAGCCTTCAAAGCCAGCCCAGCCCATCCCCAGCTGCACAGGACTCCACAGGAAGCAGCAGCAAGTAGGGACCTTGGACTCAGAAATGTCCCAAGATTTTCTGACCAGAAAGCTTATCTCACCAGCCCTTTGAGTCCATGTTGGGAGGGGGAATAGGTGGGAATGACAAAGTAAAGGGAATGTTTAGCACACTGCAAGAACATTTGAACACAGTGGCAAGATGGACAAAAACAGCCAACTTCACTGCCAAACCCCCACTCCCGCTCCTGCCAAGGCATCAGGGTCCTATGCCAGCTGCTTTAACAAGAAAGACTACTCACTGGCCACAAATGATTTTTCTTTTTCGAATTATAAATTATCCTAATGTTAGTAGGGTTATCCTAATTATAGTCAAATTCCAAGTTATCCTAAAGTTAGTGGACTGTATAGTCCATGGAATTCTCCAGGCCAGAATACTGGAGTGGGTAGCCTTTCCCTTCTCCAGGGGATCTTCCCAACCCAGGGATCGAACCCAGGTCTCCTGCATTGCAGGCAGATTTTTTTACCAGCTGAGCCACAAGGGAAGCCCAAGAATACTGGAGTGGGTAGTCTATCCCTTCTCCAGCGGATCTTCCCAACCCAGGAATCAAACCAGGGTCTCCTGCATTGCAGGCAGATTCTTCACCAACTTAGCTATGGGGAAGCCCTTTTTTCAAATTACAAATTATCCTAATGTTAGTGGGGTTAATATTTTACTTTCCTTTTTAACACACATAACAGATCTAAGCCATAAAACAAATGTGAATGTAAAACAAATTGTAATTTTAAAATGTGACAATTTATAAAAAGGATTACATCTCTTTTCTTAAAGATATAATTAATAAATTAATTAACAGTGTTAAGGTGAAAAGTTCACTGTACTGCAGGAAAAAGTTGAAGAACTGTTATCTGCTCATTTACTTAAAGACTCATAAACACAAGCACACACAAAGTGATGGCTTGTTTTGACTTTACAATTTGTCCTTTCTTCTCTCAGCAGAGTGATCCTGGCTGGTGAGCAAGCTTTGCCCTGGAAGTCTGCTGGGCAGAGCCCAAGGGCACAGCTGGGGCCAAGACCTTCCTCTGAACCTGTACTTCTGCCCCTTCTCTGAGTAAAAACAGCTCCTCCCAGAACAGGCTGTCATCTCCAAAACTAGAATATCCAGCAAAAGCAGTTCAGGACACCCTTAGGCCCCTCAGTCCCTCCTGAGAGTGAGCACTGCCTGGCCCACCCAGAGACCAGCTGCAAAGCCCACCTGGCCCACAGCACCAACCCCACCACCCCCTGAGTAGACAATCCACTATGATTCAAAAGTCTGAGATTCCTTCCAGGGGACATATCTCCCACTCAAGCCCTGAGATGTGCAGAGGTAAAGGAGGGAGACTGGGGAGGAAGACAGTCTTATAGAAAATGTAATAAATTTTATTACTTTGATGAATAGCAAAAAAAATAAAAGATTAGAAGGAAAGGAACCAGAAAAAGATAGTGTAAGGGAGGGAGGCAGAGACAGAGGGAGGGAGGGAAGAAGGAAAAAGGTAGGGGTAGGATCCCCCTGGCATTCAGCCCTGGCAGGTCTGCCCAGAGTGTGTCAAGCACATTCCCCAGTCACTGAGATGCCAGTAACTTTTGCAGAGATGAGTTACTGCACTGCCCAAATGTGTGACTCACTCAGTGACCTGGGAAGTATTTACTCACTCTCCCAATCCCCTAGGTCAAGCCCACCCATGGCCAAGGGTAAATCAGGCAAGTCCTGCTTGGAGGCATTTGAGTACCAACTTCTGGGAAAGGACTGAAGTTCTGGCACTTTGGCCTCCATCCGTGAGACAATCAGAGGAGAGAGGTCTGCGGCAATAGAGGCAGGAGCAGCCTGACCAACCCTGAGAGGCTGGTTCTAACAGTCCCCAGGATGCCCACCCTGTTCCTTCATGTCAGACTTGTCTCCACAGGCCAAGTTGTGGGCTAAAGCCCTGAAGCCAGGCCCTGCTCTCTAATGATGTCGCCAAATACTTAGGCGCACTGTCCACCCAGTGCCATTTTACTCTGAACATCACATACTTTATTACAATCCTCAAAGGAAAGTCTTACTTTCCTCATTTTACAGCTGAGATGAGAGACTCATGAAGGGACCTGCCCAGAGTCATGCCCTTGTGTGTCAAATCCACAGGTTCCAGACCCCCCTAAAAGCTCAGCTGAGCCCTAAACAGGAGCCCCCGAGTAGGGGCAAACCCGCCCCAGGGGTGCTCTAGGGATCTGAGGGCAAGAAGGGAGGCAGAAGAAATGTTAGAAGCTCTACTATAAATGCTCTAATCGATCTCTTTTAGTGTGTTATTTGTGTTGATTTTTACAACATGTACATTTGTGTGTATATGTTAGGCATATGTTAAAAATACATTACTGAAAGGAATGCATGATCTAGAAAGTCTGGAGACCCAAGCTCCAAAATTTCGCTCCAGAAATCCTCTCTAAAGCAGCAGGTTTCAGAGAGGGAGGCAGCAGCACCACCCTGTAG